CAAATGCCACACTTCTTACATTAGGCAGAACCTCAAAATCAAATAGGTTTTTGCTAGAGCCCTCCTGGAGAACAGCCACCATGGTGAGGTCATTTATTTTGGTAATACCAAATGGAACTACACCACTCTTTGTTGTTGTTCTTGCTACTACTTAAAAAACTCAAACCAGGCCAAATGGGCCTGATTCAGTCTGGCAATTTCTCAACACCAAACAAATGTGTAGCTGACCAAGAAGATGATACACACACTTCTTTCCTGGAGACTGGTAACTCTACCAGTAGGAAAGGTTGGTAACTTGTTGGAGAGGTGTGGCTCTGGTGATTTGGGAGGCTTAAAGGAGTAATCTCTCTCTCTCTCTCTCTCTCTCCCTCTCCTCCCCCTTCTTCTCTTTCATATGTTGTTCCTGGTGGTTCCAAGACCACACTTTGAGAACCAGTGGCCTAGATTCAGGCCTTTACTGAACAAAGGTATATACTTAAAATTTCACACAATCTTCATTAGGCAAATTTCTTTTTGCTAAACCTACTAAAGTGCCTCCAACATGTGCCTAAAAAACATTTACCACCATAGTCCTCCAAAAACTGACTTCAAAGTATTATAAAATAATTTGACTTGGCTTATTTCATGTCATTTTAAAAGCATCATACTGTTTGCTGACCTTTGACGAAGGCACTGCTTTGTACCTCTTTCCTACTCTCTTGTCTTTTTAAGTCCTTACTATCTTGGTCACTTATAGCTGAAATACATGCAAAGGCATTGAAGGGACTGGGGGCTGTGGTTTAGATAAGGTCTCATTCTCACACCAAGCCGGAGTCATAGCACACAACAGAGACAGACTGGCAGGAGGGGGAGTGGAGGCCTGTGCTTAGTCACTGCACTTCCAACCAATTTAAGAACCACCACTGATATAGGACGGCTGACATCAGTAAGAAACAGATTCGACACAGTCACCTTGCGCAAACAGGACACATTTCACAAACTCCTTAAATCTTTGTCTCTTTTACCTAAATGGTAAGTAGTATTAATTCCATTTATACAGACATATTAATGTACAATATGAATAATTGATCTAGGTCTTTTCAGAGGCTTTGAAGTAGCTTTCTCTCAGAGTCCCTTGGTAGGAAAATAGCACAGGGTTATTATCTAGATAATTGACCATCAGCAACTAACTACAATGATTTCAGGAGAAAACTGTATTTTCTATACTCTGGAGCCAGCTGTCAGGGAGTCTGGTCTTTCCATGGTAAAAAATAACTTGTGCGACTAGTTGATGCCTAACATTCTGCAAGAACTTCATTCCTTTGGCTTAAGGCTGTTCCCCTGTTCAAATGCAAGCAACCCTCGGGAAAAGGTAGCATTAAGCCTCCCAGTCGCAAAGCAAATGGATTAATCCCTTTCCTGAGAGCATGTTTTTTCTTAGGAGGAGAACAAAGTAGGAGGCACTGAGGAGAATCGGTGCTGGGCCACAAGGATTCTGAGGAGGGAGAACGAAGCAGAAAGAACAAACAGAAGGTCACAGGGGCAGACCTCCAACTGACTGGTGAAGGGCACTGGCCTTCAGTGTTCTTCCTGGACTGGGTGCTAACTCACCAGCTGGAGCAGGCTATTTAGAAATGTTTGTGATAATACTTCAGATTCTTTACTGCTTAGGCATACAAAGGCTTCTGGCAACAAATGGAAAAACAGCAAGGAAACATTTGGCGCAAAACCTGCCCCCAAATCAGAACTACACTCAGAAAAAGAGCAACTGATACTACTTTACAGAGTGCAAATCGCAGGGCCGTGGCAAGGGTAAGGCACTGGTGGGGCCTTGAGAGTGGGCGTCTCCCCAGTCGCCTCACCCTAGTCTTGGCCCTGGCAAATCATAGCAAAGGAAAAGCTCACCATTGTGCCACGGACTTGGCGAACACAGAGGGCGGAAGCAGTGAGCAATAAGCACTGAGTGATAAGATAGCTAGTCTTTTTCCTGACTGGTTCAGAGGTGAGGAAGGGGGCAGGTGCGTGGGTAGATCTGCTCAGAGTGACAAGTACACAGGGACATCAACTGGATCTGTGTTGTCTGGATAAAGCAGCTGTCAGGCAGAATGCTTGTTGGGGGAACCTTAACCTTGCGGTCAGGAAGCTAATATGAATGGATTGGCTGCCTGTGGCCTTGACTCCTTTGTTGGTACGGGTGCAGCCCATGGGTGCTAAGACCGAAGGACAATTTGGAGCCAGGTGGGAGGCCCAGGTGGGCCAGGAATACAGGCAAAGGGAGGAACCATAGGAAAAGTCAGCCTTTGTAGTAAGACTAGCCTGCTCTCCACCACTCTTGTTTGAACCACAGATATATCTCCACCAAGTGCAAAGCATTACCTGCATCTTGGGGTGGGGGCTCTCCCCAACCCTTGACTATACCGAGGCTACTCTAACAGAGCCACCTGCCACTAAGGGTTAGAGTTGGAGGGAAACAAGGGATAGGAGAAGCTTAAAAGAGGGGCTGACTAACTGGGGCCAATTTTCTTTCCCTCCAACTCATCTGTAGAGATGATTCTGGGAGCAAGCCCACCTTCCCAGCCTCACAGGCAGCACACATTATACCCAGGGAAGAGAGTTGGTGTTTATGATGTTAAGGACAGGAGAAAGGTTAAGTATTAGAAAGATGCTTGGTGTTGTGGTAATCAACTAGTAGATTTTTTTAAAATAATCTTGTTGGTAGTTTAAGACTAGGTCCACTTCCTGCAAACACTGAATGAAGAGCCCCAGTCCTAAGCGTTTTCCCTAACTGTAAAGTCTCTGCCCCACGCCCTCTTGTGCTAATGGGCTTCCGAGGGTCGTAGTGATGGAGAAACGTTCTGAACATCCCAGGCACACAGAGTTTTGCAGAGGAAAGCAAGGCTTCGGGTAACTGAAAACAACCTCAAGCGGTCTAAGCATTCAGCTTATAATTACAATCTTTTGGGGGACACTTTCAGAGGTAGCAAGGCAAGGGGAGAGGCAAAACCCATGAGAAGGAACAAACAAGACACTTCTAAAAAAAAAAATCAGCAAAAGTAGCAAGCCCTGTACAGAGTCCTATAGGCTCATACTTTAGCATTCAACAATTCACAATGGTTCTGAGGAGCAGACTCAGGGAGCCTTTTGTTTCTGATAAACAGGAAGTGTGGGCAGTCCACGCCACTCCTTCATTTCTCTACAGAGGAAAAGTGCCTCTGTCTTTTGGAATTCTCAGTTCAGGTCAGGTGTGATACTTATATATAAACCAACACCAATACTGAAGTCTCTGTCTTACCATTTAGCCCCAGATGTCCTGTAACTAACTATGTAGATCAGGCTGGCCTCAAACACACAGAAATCTGCCTGCCTCCATCTCCCAGGTGCTGGGATTAAAAACTGTGTATACCACATTCCTTCCTGACTCTTGTTTAAATTCAGGCAAAACTTATGAAACTGGGTTAAGATCTTCATGTAAAATGTTATAAACACTTTCAAAACAACTAGAGTTCCATGAACTATTATTTCGGTGGCTTCTTTCTAAATCTGAGAGACATGCTAGTTGCGAGAGTGTTGGTGATCTTGCTCTATTTTCACTTGTTGAGAATTCAGAACTAGACCAAGCCAACCAAGGATCTCTGCCCAGGGCTTCTATGCCAGAAGACTGAGTCTTCTCAGTACCTAGTTTAGTTCCTTTCAGCAACGTTGTCTTGTTGGAGTATGGGCAGTTGAACTAAGAGCTTGCTTCTCGTTGGTAGGAAGTAATGCCCTATCAAAATGAAGATCCGATTGTCTCTGGCCCTCTTACTGCTTCTTCCAAGAGACTGAGCAAGGAATCTGGTAGGGCAGGGGGTGCAGGACGAAGAGGCCAGGGAACTTTTTTTTTTTTTTGCAAAGCATATACTGGTTCATTTCCTTTTGGCCCCTTGACACCAGAAGACAATAAGCTTCCCAGCACTGGCCAGCAAGTTCTCTGCTCAGTGCTTTGCCTATCTTGTCCCCGGCTCCTCAGAAACCAGGTGCATGACAACCAGGAGCTCTTGCTCTGCTTACAAAATTGAGTTGACAAGAACAGCCAGTGCCTATTGGCTTTGGAAGGGAAGGGGTAATTACGATTGTTTTGCAACTCTTTCAGGATTCTATTTATCCTAGCTGCTCTGCTCTCCCCCACCATGGCTAACTGAAAGTTGGCCAAATAATAGTACCTAAATGGCAAAAAAAGTAGCCCTTTTGTATTCTGGGCCATAGCAAGGCTGCTTTTTTTATTTTGAGAAGCCTTTTTAAGTCTACAGGTTCCCAATTTTTGAAACGGAGTCAAATTTCCTTAAAACAAAACCCAAACAACCACAGAAAGCACAATCTGAATCAAATGATGTGGGGTAAGAGACTCATGCTTTCTACTCCCGGGGCCTCTGATGATGCCACATTTTTTTACCTAATGATTTTCTCTAATGAATGCTACATGCGAGTGAAATGAGAGTTCTTAGCGTATACAGCATGAGCTGGGCACTGATCCTGGCTACCCATGTTGACAGGCACTCGAAAGACCTCGAGGCGCACATGCAAATTACCTTGGCTAGGTGTGAGTGAACAAAGGTCCCATTCGTTTTTGCTGAGCTGGCTTCAGCCAAAGCCATATCTTTTCTAGCTAATTGGGGTGGGGGGAGGTCCTAGAAGTTTATTAAAACTCATCACCCTGATCTCCGCATAGACAATCAAACTGAAAAAGGCATGAAGTTTTGGAAGAGCCACATTCATATTTTGCACCACAAAAGCCATCCAATCAACCCCATGCCGAAATTAGTGCACACCTGCAGAACTTGCTCTGGAGGAAAGTCACACTGTGGTTGAGGAGGCCTCGGTGTCTTTCTGTGTCTTCACATAAGGCCATCAAGGCCTCCCCAGGAGAGTAGACAATCAGCAGTGGAATTGGCATCCTCTGTCCCCAGCCCTGGTTTGGAAATCCCCAATCTGTTCTCCCAGCATGCCCCTCAGTGATAGGAGCCAATGGACAAAGCAGCCAGGACGTTGAGAAGGTGGCACATGTGTTCTCAGATCTGAGGATCTCTTAGTGCACAGCGCTGGGAGACAATAAGAAAGACTCCAATGTTCAGTCATGGCAAGGATGGAGGCATGTAATGCAGACGATCTGAAGCCTATCTAAGTGCCCGTTGAGCTCAGTTGCATTGTGTTGGCCTCTCTGCTGTCCAGAGTATGAGTTAACATCAAAGACATAGATTCTTTTGTCATTTCTGTGGTTGATCCCTTTCTAAAGCCCTCTGTCTTCCCCCTTCTCTATTCAGGTCTAGTAAGTAAGAAGCAGGCTTTAGGTACTAGGGTTGTCAGTGGGTTCATAATCTTTTGAGAACTGTGCAATAATTCTTCGAGCCAGAGGGTTGGTGGTCTTCAGCAGCTCAGCCGCTGAGGGGCGGGTCCTGGGAGTAGCCTTACTTCCCTTCTTCTGGAGCAAGGCCTTGAAATCATCATTCCTGCCAGCGTCGAGACAGGCACTGCCACTTGGCCCTGTGGCAGCGGTGGACTCACCGGTGGGAGAATCAGCTGTACTCTTCACTGGTGAATGGGAGCTGGGTCTGCTTCCCGTGAAGCCCTCCCCAGGTTCTTTCCAGCCCAGTAGCTTTCTTTTGGACCTAAATGAGAGAAAGACTGGCTTGAGCGAATTCAGGGAACCCAGGGAGAAGAAAGCTGGCAAAGCTTTGATGCATTACCAGCTAGGGATGTGTTCAAGGACATGCATATGACAGCCTTGGGCTGATGGGCTAGTCCTCATCCCTTAGCTCCCCAGGTCCTTGTAGGGCCCTCTGTTCTTTCAATGCTCACAACTGGAGTCACTTGCCCTATGCTACAGGTTCAGTCCTTAGTAGTTTTCTGAGATCAAGAACAAAACTTAAAAGAGTCAAGTCCAAGAATAGTCTCCTAGCAGAGGGAGGGGAACACCAACCCACTCACAAAACTTCAACTCACAAAAACTTCAACCCAAAATTTACTCTGCCTACAAGATGTGCAGGGATAAAGATAGAACAGATAGAGCAGAGAGTAAGGGAATGCCCAAGCAATGCCTGGCCCAAGCAAAGACCCACCCTATCAGAGAGTGCCAACTTCTTACACTATGAATGACACTCTGCTAAACTTTAACACAGGAGCCTGTCAGAGTTGTCCTCTAGAGGCACTACCCAGCAGCATCTCAAAAAACAGATGCCAAGACTCACAGCTGAACGTTGGGTGACACGAAGGGTGTCTTGTGGAAAAGTAGGAAGAAAGAGAAAAGGACCTGGATATAAGCTCCACAGTAAGACCAACAGAGCCAATTAACCAGGGCCCAGAGGGGCTTGCTGAGACTGAAGCATCAACCAAGCACCATGCATGAACTGGACGTAGGCCCCCAACAAAGATGTAGCTGATGGATAGCTTAGGCCTCATGTGGGTCCTCTGGTTAGGGAAGTGGGGACTGCATTGAACACAGACTCACTTGCCAGCTTTTTGATCACTTTCCCGTGGCAGGAGTGCCTAGCCATGCCACCGGGAGAGATGAAGGACATGCTCAGTCCTGATGCAACTTGATGAGCTGGGGTGGATGGGGAAGGGAGCTCCTCTTTTCTGAGGAAAAGGGGAAGGGGAGGGAGAGAGGGTAGGGCTGGGAGAGGAGGAAAGATGGGGCTACAACAAGGATGTAAAGCAAATAAGAGAGAGAGAGAGAGAGAGAGAGAGAGAGAAGGCCAGTAGCTCAGTGACTGAATCAAGACAGCCAGAGGTTTGAAATTGGTTTGATTTGAACTGGTGGTCCACTCCAGAAACTGGACTCACAGACCCAGGTACCTCACCACCAAGCCACTGCCTCATGCTCCTATGTCTACCTCTGTTCCCCCTCTGCTCAAGTCCCTCCTCTCATATACTGTCCAGTGCTCCATATCACCTTGAGATAGAATTCTCTGGTACAAGGAATTCTGTGAAGGGTTAAATGTCTCTAAATGCAGACAGAACTGTGAGGGAGCAGATGGAGACACAATAGGCCAAGCAGTTGCTAGGAGACCGGAGGGCTCTCTCAGCACCTGTCCTCCCCTCCACCACTTCACCCAAAGACATCAGTGAATTTGAGATGTGAGGTCCCAGACTGTGCTCACATATGTAGGTACCTGGACTCAATCTCCAGTTGTGATTCTAATGGCTGCTCAGAGGCAGCAGTTTTTGTTCAAGTAGAAAAGGGGACAGCAATTGCAATTACAATGAAGGAAAATGATCCTGACCTGTGTATCACAGTGAATAAGTCTTCAGTTGTTCGAGAAGCTACAAACACGTCATCCTCCTCCTCTGCAATCCATTCGGCTGTTTTATCACTGATTAAACTCTTCTCTTCAGTACTTGGTTCGCCAGGTCTCCCTAGGCATGAGAACGAAAAGGAATGACTTTGACCATGATAGGACAAAACACATGCAGTTTCATTATTTGGCTTGATGTTCAAAATGACTCTGGAAGGACAGCAGGGCAGAGACTTTTGATGTCTCCGGTTTTCGAGGAGGAACCTAAAGTTCAGAAGGCTAATGATTTAGTCCCAAGCCTTTCAGTGCCCGCATGGTGAAGACTGGCCCGGATCCCTATTCTCATGCATGCTTTTCATTAAAATGGGTGCTTTAAGCATGTTCTTGTTTTCTTACTCATTTCAACCAAAATTAGTGCTGGGGATGGGACTCAGGACCTTGCACACAGTAGATAAGCTCTCTGGCACTGAGCTATATTCCTGCCCTCCTTGTTATAAATACATAATTAAAAGACTCAAGATACTGAGAGCAGGGTAAAGCAATTATGCTCACCCGGTCGGGGGGGGGGGAGGGGTTGGAACCTGTTTGAATCTGAGGGAGCCTGTGGAGTCAGAGGAAGCGCATTTGAAAATAACCCTTGGCTTTGACATGCTCACTTGCTTTTGTCACAGTGATTAGCTTACACTGAAAGTCTAAATCAGCTTAAAGAAGGTCAGGAGATTTGTGGTGCTCAGTATTAAAGTTTGAAAATGATGAGAAACATAGTTGAGCCTTGAGGACATTAATAAAAATAAGCAAGTGACAAAAAAGACACCAAATCTATGATTCCACTCAGCATCCAGAGCAGTCAAATCCATAAACCTGAAAAGTGAACTGTGGTTGACAGGGCAGCAGGTGAGGAGGAGAGAGAGAGACAGTTGTTTCAAGGGTATAGACCTTCATTTTTGCAAGACAAATGACACTCTGGAGATGGTAACTCAAGATAAATGTTCTTAAATGCTAATGAACTGCATAGGTAAAGAGGCTGTAATTAACCCAAGGATGGAGACTCACACCTACAAACGTAGCACTTGGGAAGCTGAGGTAGAATTGTGACTTTCAGGCCAACCAAGGTAACACAGTGAAATTCTGTCTCAAAAGAGGAGAGGTTGGAGCTATGAAGGTGGCTCAGTTGGGAAAGCAGCTTCCATGCAAGCATGAAGACCTGAGTTCAGATCCCTGGCATTCATCTAAAAGCCAGACACCATTCTGTGATCCTAGTGATCCAGATCTGGTTGTGTGGAGACAGGTGGATGTCCAGAGCTTGGCAGCTAACCATTCTAGCCATTAAATATGCTCTGGGATCTGTAAGAAACTCTGTCTCAAAAAATAAGGCAGAGAGTGATAGTGGAAGATACTCAACCTGTGGCCTACCTGCCCCCTGGAAGTGGTTAAAATATGTGTTGTGTGTACCTTACAACAAAAGAGACACAGAAGCAACATCAACCCAAAAGTAAAATCATTAACTCTCGTGGTCTTATGGGTCCAGGTAGAGTTAGAATCGAACCATCTAAGGATGATTGTGCCCTTTCTTCTGGGAGACACTGAAAAAGGGTGCAGGTAATAACACAGCACATCATTTCAGAATCATGCAAGCCTTCTGGGAGGCTGGAACTTGGTCTTGTACAGTACTGTGTCCTGTGCATTAATATAAATTTAGTGTGACCAAAGAAAACTACTGTCTCATGAGATGGACTCTTAAGTCAGGGGCTGTGTGCCTGGCTGGACAGATGGGGTCTGGAAGTCCCAGTGTGCTAACCATCTGATTTTTCTGTCATAGTGCCTGAGTTAAGAGTAGATTGCCCAGACTTACTTAGCCTTGCAGATCTGTCCTGGGTCAGTCCTGTCCCCCAGGACAGTAGGGACCAACCCACAGTTCCTTTTCAGAGTTAGCCCAAACCCTCTAGATGCGTCCCCTACTGATTTGGTCATACTGGGGCATTTGCTTTGACTCTGAACTTCAGCCTTACCCTCATCCCTCCTTCAACTGAAGAAAGGAAAAGGCAAAAAAAAAAAAAAAAAAGAAAAAAAGTTTACTAACCTGAAGTGGTGGTCTCCTTTTCACTGTCAACGCAAAGAGCCGAAGTCATCCTTTTACCAGGTGGCTTCAGGTCATCACCAGTGGAGGGACACTTGGCATCTTCCTCCAAGGTGATGATGGGGCTGAAAGGCAGCCTTGGTTCTGCCACGCAGGCATCCATTTGAGCTACAGGGGAGGTGAGAGGCAGGTAGAGCACACTGGGCTTTTTTGGTACTGGAGGTGGAATCTTGCTCGTCTTTTTCTCAGCTTCTTCTTGGCTCTGGAGGTTGATTCTTTCAGGCAAGGCTTTCACCTTGGGTCCCCCTTCTTCTACACTGGCCTGGGGAGGTTGCTGTGTTCCTGAGAAGAAAGCACCAGAGGAACTGGCAAGAGGTGTGAAGACAAGGGTAGAGGATGCTGCTGAGTCTCCGGGGCTCCTGCCACCGGGGAAGCTGGGTGACTTTGGTTTCCGAAACACTGTGTAGCTGTCTTGGGGGAGCTGCTTCATGTGTGTACCAGAGCCCCTAGGTGTCATAGCCATAGTAGGAGAAGTTAGTGGATACTCCCCAGGGAGAGACGGAGGCCTGTGGACCAAACTTGGAGGCCTTCGGGCCAGTGGCGGCTTCTCGGCTATGGGAGGTTTCACTTTTCTCTCTGGCAAGGTGAAGACTTCCTCCATTCCAGGTTCCTCGGTGTAATCTGGGCTCTCAATGTCATCTTCTGGCTCAGACTTGCTGACTGACCTCAGGCGAACAGAACGGAGGTCAGACTGAGTAACCATGGGCATGATTGGCTGGTTTGGACTAGTTTTCTGTGCCAGTTTGGCTCCAAAATTGGTTTCAGAGTGATGGCGGCTCACCTTGGTTTTGCTGCGGATGGAGATACTCATCCCTGACAGATCCAGGGTGGTTGACGAGGTCAATGGTAGGTCAAATGACAACCGTGACTTGCAGATTTTCTCCATTGGTGATGTTGGGGGCAGTGATGACTTCCTTTCTGGTACCACTGGACGTACTCGGACAGTGGTACTTGGAGGGGGTAAGTGGCCCAGGGTCAAAGACATGGAGACAGTGGGTGTGGGTGTCTCTGACTGGCTGGAATAGCCACTGGAAGGGGACATTAGTCCAGTGGGCCTCCCGGGGGAAGCTACTTCCCTGGCTTCCACCTCAATGGAGAGCTGGGAGGGTGTTGTCGCTCTGGAGGTGGAAGGGGAGGCCAGAGACTCTGAACTTCCCTGAACTTGAGTGCACTCAATGACTGTGGTGCCAGTGGCAGTGCTGGAGCTGGACAAGGATTGGTAGGTATCACCAGACTTCCAGTCAGTAAGATACCAGTGGTGAGAGAACTGCGTACCTTCCGGATCTTTGAGTGTTGGCCCAGGTGGGTGACCTTGAGCATCTGGGTGGTGGCCCTGGTGTTCCAAGGAGAGGCAAAGGCTCCTGGGCCTCTGGTCCTTGGGAAGCACTAATTCACCTTCTGGTTGGAGAACTGGCTCATCTTTGACTAGTGAGACGCTTCGCATGGGTGGAGAGGGCTTCTTTTTGGCCTTCTTGAGTGAAATACTTTTGGACCTTTGCCTTCTGTGCCGTGCCTCCTGCTCAGTGCTGAGGGCTGCAATGTTGTCAGTACTGTTACTGCCTTCAGAGCTTGTACTGGTATAAGGCAGGATACGGGCCTCACTGGCTTTCTGTTCTTCATCATAGTCCACTGAGATGACACCTGAGTCTGTGGGCACAGACAGTGACCGCTCCCGGAACCTGTTGGTCCCACCTGGGCCTGTTTCCAGCCTTGAGGTACCGTGAGCAAGAAGGCCAATCTTGGGAGGTCTTTCCGGTATTTGTCTTCGTTGAGTGGGGTGCTCAGAGTAGCTGGGTAGCCCAGTGCATCCTGCTGGATTATCACGGGTGACAAAGAGAGCAGCTGTCTCCTTAGGGACCAGAGGCGGGAGTGTGTTCAAAGAGACCCAAGAATTCCCCGAGGAAGGGTTTTTTCCATTTTTACTGACTTGATTGCCCTGGCTACTGGCGCTTGGAGTCATGTACATGAAAGCATCTCCCTTCCAGGAAGTGGAGGATGTTGATTCTGCTGGTCCATTGCAAGAACTGGGAACGCTGTACACCACTGCCATGCTCTCCATGCCAGGAGGGTCTGGGCCACTGTGTGCCTGGTGAGGGTCTCCGGGTTCACTGGAAGAGTGTCTCAGTCCTGGTGAGGTGAGACTTGGGAACCGAGTATCCTGCCCAACAGCAACTCTCCCTTGAACAACGTGTGGAGCTGAGTGGCCAGGCCTGATGTCTGAGGTGGCAGAGTGGGCCAGGCTGCCTATGGGGCTGTTGCTGTGACCTGGAGATGGAAAATACATGTTAGTGGTACAGCAAAGGACCCTCACCTCCCATCAGCTGTTTTGTGACAAGAATATCAACTTTGTGCCAGGCAGCATTTGCCAACAGCCTTGTCAGAATTCCTTGGTTCTTTTCACCAATGAGGATGCCGGGAGAAGTTGGGTTCCTGCCCATAACCACACAGTGAGTCACAGGGTACCCTTGAATTGGCCATATGGCTGCCAAAGGCTTTCCAGCTTTGATGACTCTTTTCAGAGTACAAGTGTCACATAGGACTACCTCAGGATTCCCCCATACATTCTCCCTGGGTTCCTGGGGTTGGAGCAGGAGCTTCTAAACCGACTAAAAACCACAGTTTCATGTGGTTCACAGCCCCAGGAGTCCATATGAAGTTTGACAGAATGCTGTATTTCTTGCATCTGTCACTTTTAACCTTTGAACAAAAAAAAGACTTAAGAGAATTCACAGAGGTGACAACAAGGTAGCCCAATCTCCAGAAGTTTTCACATATCCAGAGCTGTGACTGTTATAACATTACTATTATTGCTACTTTACCAACATAATAATTCATAATAGCCAGCATTTGTTGAATGTTGACTATATCCCAGGTACATGATGGGCAGACTACACAAATAGTTTTGTTTTCTACAGTTGACCATATTGGGTCAACACATGATTACAGTTTGAGGGGGTGGGTGATTCCCCACTTCTAATTATTTGACTAAATTTGGAATATATGGTAACAGTACATTTTTTTTTTTTTGGAGACAAGACCTCATTTTATATAGTCCTTCTCTGGCTTAGAACTCATGAAGACCAAACTGGCCTTAAACTCGAGACAATCCTCCTGCCTCTGCTACTGAGTGCTGGGATTAAAAGTGTATACGTCATCCCTAAATTACATTACATTTGTAATGGAAAACAATAACATTGTGGTTTCATTAGCCTCAGATACCTGCTCTCCATACCCAATTTTTCTGGTCTCGCCAAGAGCCCTTGGTTACCATTAATTACCACATTGGCTTTTTAGGATATTCAAAGTCTCTCTCCCCAGAATTATTTCGGTTCCCTACTGTCACCTGCCACTTGCATGACAAGGAGTAGTGGGAAGTGGAGAAAAGGTTGGAGGGAATCAACTGTATTGGGGTCACCTTGGTCTCGCTGAGAAAAGTTAGAGAATCCAATAATGGTCCGCCTCCGCCTCAGGGTGGACTTGGGGTTCACGGCTGTCTCTGTGTTAAACAATGAGTGTCGAAAACTTGCATGTCTATCAAACTGCTGCCCTGTAGTCAAAATAAAGATACTTGGGTGCATCCTGGGTTCTGTTTACAGTGCAGTGGAAACTGGTCTGAGGTAGAGAGGAGGGATGATGGCAGCAGAAATGAGCATGAGTAGCATCCAGGCAGGCGGCACTTCTTCCCCATCCCTCCCAATTTGGTGCTGGACACACACACACACACACACACACACACACACACACACACGCACACACACACACACACAAACACACACACACACACACACACACACACACACACACACACACGGTTTTACAGACTACACCCAGCTCACCTGTACTTCTAAGATTTACTGGGACAGTATTTTTCAACTCTGGGTCCATAATGAAATAAACTGGGTAGCTTTTGAAATTCCATGACTTGAACTCCAGAACATCCAAACTTTCTGGGAGAAGAACCTGAGTAGAAGTTTTGCCTAGGAGTCCTGGCCAGATGTATAGCTGGGGGTGAGCATCACTGCTTGAGGAGTGATAGACGGAGGCTAGATGGTATTTAATTGTGCTCATAATGTTTCTCCTGTGCTGCTGGAGACAGAACCCAGAGCCTTCTATATTCAAGGCAAATACTCTACCACTGAGATGCATTTGTACTCCACGGGCATTGCTTTTGTGAGCAAAGGACTTGTTTGGTTATCCAGCCTGGACTTGACCTCATCACCCTGCTTCGGCCTCCAAACTGCTGCAGTTATGAGTATGCGTCATCATGCCTAGACTGACTGTGGTCTTTTCTCAAAGTCTTCACAGGGGCCAGGTGAAGATGGTATCTCCAAGAAGCTGTTCTCCTGACCCCAACATTTAGAAAGCAACATTTTGATAGCCTGTCATATAGCTACTTGACCGCATATTACCAAAATTGGCAGTTTGTGTCAACTGTGCCCCATGTAATTCTCTTAAAGTGCTGGGTTAGCCTTTAGTTTTGGAAATTTGTTGGCTGAAAAGTCAGGGTGAGGTGGTCCATGGGGCTAGAAAGGCAGTTCAGCTCCCTGTCTTTCACTTTGTAGCTGGTTTAGCAGACCTTCACCTTCTAGTCACACTGCTGTAGTCCCTTCCCAGTAAATGGCTCCACAGGAGAAACTCAAAACAGCTTGAAAGGGAGACAGCCATTTAGACCAAGGATATCAGTATTGCTTTGTGAGTCTCCCATCACGGTTCACTTCCATTGGCAAAATTCTCTAGGACATGAGTTCGACTTCCTGCCTCTCTTTCTCAAGATGACTCTAGGGGCAATGGATGAACCCAGGGAGCATTACCACACAGAGACAGAGCTGTCCTCATTGACTTCACCAACTTTTCTCAACACAACAGGGGCTATGCTAGCTCCCAGGCTTCCTCTTGTCCCTTCAGATTTTATAATAATAATAATAATAATAATAATAATAATAATAATAATAACAACCCTATAATATTATATAATTATAATAATATGTATAATATATAACATAATTATATAACAATAATAATAATTATTATTATTGTGGTGGTAGTGGTGGTTTTTTGAGACACGTGGTGTTTTTTTGAGACACGGTTTCTCTGTGTAGCCCTGGCTGTCCTGGACTCCCTTTGTAGACCAGGCTGGCCTTGAACTCACAGTCATCTGCCTGCCTCTGAGTCCCTTCAGATTATTGAGGTTTTGGTTTTATTAGGCTCCTGGAGTAGGAAGCTACTTGTAAGAAGTTACTTGTGGCCCTAATCTGGAGACTGAGATAATGTTATCAACGTGGCAGAACCCAGAACCACCTGGGAGATGTGCCTTTGGGTGTGCCTGTGGGGATAACTTGATTCAACTTATATAAGAAAACCCAGTTTAACTTTGGATGGCACCATTCCTTGGGCAGGGGATTGTGGACCCTACAGGTGGAGAAAAGGAACTGAGCAGCAGCAAGCATTCATTGTCTTCTGCTTCTTGTCTGTGGACACCATGTGACCAGCTGCCTTTGAGGAACTGCTCCTTGAACAGTGGACCAGTATCTACTCTCTTTTCCCTTAAGTTGCTTTTGTCAGGGTGTCTTCTCAAAGCAATGGGAAGAGAAGCTGAGACAAATGTAAACATTTCCCCACTACTCTCAAGGTCATCCTGAATTCCCCTTTGGTCTTTCTTTCTTTTTCCTCTGTGCCCTTTGTGTCCCCTTCCCGTGTTGCCCTACAATTAAAACACATGTACTCGAATTTCCCTCTCCTGTCTATTATCAGCACATTCCAAATCCAGCTTTGGCTTTATAACATTATCTTTACCTAAAACAAACAAAACTCACGGACTTTGTTTCCACTTAAAGTCAAAAAAAACCAAAAAACAAAAAAAAAAAACAACCAAGTGCAGAAAACTTTTGGCACATCCTGTAAAGAAACCTTTGTTCAATATTACACGGTATCAGTTATACTGGCGGTGCAGATAGGGGTGAGGGAAGGGCAGCCACAGCCCCCTCTTCAGCAAGCCCCCACTCCCTGGGAAGTCACGGCCTGGACAGTGCAGAGCAAGCCAGTAGCAGATGGAGCGGCCCTCCCTCCCCAGTACCCAGTGCATCTGGAGAGGATGGGCTGTTCGCATGAAGGGAAGCAGACAGTGGGTGCTAAGGAACTCTACCAGAAATGTTGATGGGCACAAGGTCAGACTGCATGGAGCAGGGCTGAAGCCAGTGCTTCTCCTTTAGGATGGGTAGAGGGAAGGGGCCATCCCAGGCAGTTGGCTTGTTGGCAGTAGACAGGCTCAGGCAGACCTCTGGGGCCCTCACACCCTGGGTCGTGGTCTCATCCTCTCTCAGTTGTCGTTTTGTAGGCTGTTGGGAGAGAGGGTGACGGAAAGGGTGTGCTTCTGAGTGGTGGAGAGCTGGCGCCCATAGGATGGCTGCTTAGGCAGGAAGGTTGGAGGCGTCCTCTTGAAGGCAGGAAAGCATGTACGGGCTGCCTGGCTAGGCACCTGCAGTGCAGGACCCTTCCCAGTGAGCCTTCACAGCAGCCCTGCTAGTGAGCAGTGATTAAGAGCAGCATCCAGTGGGGGGGGGTCACATAAGACCCCCTGTCAGTGGGTGCACACTGGCTCTCCCACGTTGGGGAAGAAGCAACTCACCATCAATACAAACTCCAGACGCTTGTCAGACTGGGGCCTTGGGCTGGGAGTAGGCTCAGGGGCCTCATCAGAAGAGCGGAAGGTCTGCCCCAGAAGTCTGGCCTCTGAATACTGTTCCTCATAGTCTTCTGAAAAACAGCATAGTGGAGACACACTCTAGGGGGCCTCAGCCAAGTGCCAGGCTTGGGGGGTACCACAAGCCAGATTCTGCCCTAAGCTGCCCAGTCTGACTTCAATTGTTTCTTTGAGCTATTTTCTGACTACTGGATTCAGAAATGGAAAAACGGTTTGGTTCCTGGGATCATGAGTGCAGAGGAGGAAAGAAAGCCAGTAAATCCAAGCTGAGCTGTTTTGGGGACCATGCCCTTTCTAAGTGGTCCCCACCTTAAACACTCAACCAGGAGCCAAAACTCAGGATGTAGACTGCCTTTGCTAAACATTTCATTCTCTGAGGCTCTGCATCTCTTCAGGTGTTCTGCAGTGTTACCAAAGAACACTGTGCATGAAGCAAGAAGAGATCCACACTAAGAAATCCAGTCTGGAACTATCTTGGATTGCAAAAACTTTAAGTTTTCTTTGAGATAAAGTTTTGCACGTACGTAGCCCAGGCTGACTTCAGAACTCAAGAGACTTCTGCCTCAGTCTCTTGAGTGCTAGGATTACAGGCTTGTGCCACCATACCTGTCTGCAAGGACTCATACTTGATATTTTCTAGGTCTGGTTCCACTGTAGATGGAGTCAGGTCTAGGGAAGCTAAAAGTAAGGAAACTGAAGGTGTTGGCATAGAAGACAGCAAAGTTCATGAATAACAATGAGGAAATAAGTATGTGTAAGATTTGAATGAGGTTGACCAAAGCAAAGGCTTGGATGAAATACAGAATGTGACAGCTCAGAACAAATCTCGGGGATCTGTGTGTATTTGAACAGACTTCGAATCTGGTACTGGGGCTTGCTCTCAGGGCTGATTCTCTGTCATAAAGCTCCTTCTCTGGGCTCAGAATCTCTCTTCTTCAGAAGCCCTTCCAGGTGACTTTTCAGTCTCAGGGCAGATGCCTAAAGAGCACTCCTTTCTTGGCTATGGCTCCTGGGCATGTCAGAAAGGTTTTGTTTGTTTGCTTGTTTTGTTTTGTTTGTCTGGAGGTGGAATTGTCTCTCTGAGTTTCTGTTTACTGGTCCTAATTCTGCTTGTGGTAATAGCACATTCACTCTTTTCCCCCCTGTATGGTAGCTGAACACAGGGCCTTTTGTACATTTAATATCCATTAGGCACCTCTTAGTCCAACCCTGTGTCCAGTATTTCTGAAAATCTCGAGTAGTAAGAGAAACTCAAAGGTAATAAGAAGTGGCTTTTTTAAAAATGTGTGTGGTGCTGGACATGGAATCTTTGGCACCTGTCACCACTGAGCTACCCCTTCAGCTTGGGGATGTGATTTCTATGGAGAAGCTCATTGTGGCTGGGAGGTTATGATAAGAGCAGAGTGTGAGGAGTCCAGGTTAGGAGACGCTACAGATATCCCCTTTGTTTTCTGGTGCCAGAATCCCAAGCACGGGTGATAGGACAACAGGATGGCTGGAGGGAATGTGGGTCCCCATGGAGGGAGTCTCCCACTCCCTTCTCTGTGAACTGCTAGACCCACTGCCCCACCTCAGCCTGTATCCTTTCCCCCTTTATGGACTACTGGATGAAAAAGGGAGGGAGAGTGCAACAGCGCTGGAAACAGAGTCTTAGTTAGCATCATCAGTCTGGAAGGTGAAAAGAGAAATGGTTTGGAACTGCTTTCTTTCTTTTCTCTTTCTCTTTCTTTCTTTCTTTTTCTTTCTTTCTTTCTCTTTCTCTCTTTCTCACTTCCTCTTTCTTTCTTTCTTTCTTTCTTTCTTTCTTTCTTTCTTTCTTTCTTTCTTTCTTTCTTTCTTTCTTTCTTTCTTTCTCTTTCTTTCTCTCTTCTTTCTTTCTTTCTTCCTTGCTGTTCAGGGTTTCTTCTTTGCCTCCCTCCTGCTGCACAGCCGCCTCTAGGCAGCCCCACTCCCTTGCAGTACCTTGCAACAGGCTCTGGAGATTAAGCTGCGCCTCGCGAAGTAGTTCCTCTACACTCGGTGGCCTGCCCGAGGAGAGGAACACATTCACTGGCTGTCGCCATGACGACCTCGAATGGGCAGCCGCTGTCGCATTTTCCCGACCCGAGTTAGCTGCAGCTAAGGAAGGAGAGAGTGAGTGAGAGCGCAGCCACGGGAGCCAGTGGGCTCCCTAAGTTCCCGAAGGTCAGCCCCTGCGGGGGGCCGTGAAGGGCTGCCTTTAAAGGGCGAGGGATTGCTGCCTGCAAGATTTTTCCTCGACAGATCCTTCCCTCCTACTCTATTTGTGTCTGTCCGCATCACCATTGCCAGTGTTCTGTGCCTGCTGCCTCCAGGACCTGCCTCTAGGTCCCGTGCTGTCATCCTCTCCAACCCCTGCCACAAGGTAACAGTCCCGGACGAACCCCTGTCGGTGTACTCCTGGCTCACTTGTGCCTAGTCTCCCTGTTGCTGCACTTCGCTCTCTCCTCACGCCCACCTACCCTTTTCTGCCTCCTTCTGCAGTCTCCATAACTCCCTACCCGCAACTGCCAGACATTCAAAGCCCCGGGAACTAGTCAAGATGTCAGAAGCGGCAGGAAATCTTAAATAGCCTCCGCTTGGCAAATGTGGCCCCGAGAGAGGAGTTAAATGCCCTTCGAAGAGAGAATGCCCATCTAGGCCCTGCAGCTCGGCAGAGCCTTGGCCGAGGTTAATTCCTTGCGAGGCAATGTCTCGAGCTACATCCACTGGCCGGTGCCCATAGTGCTGGTCCTTGCAGAGGACAACTTTGAGTTCCTACTCCATGAGACGGGTCCCACTCCAGAGGTACCTTTCCTGTGCTGGCCTCCTCCATGCACAGATCCCGAGTATGTCTTTGATTAATGTGGTCCAGGACCATGCCAACTCCAACGGGTCCATTGACCCTCCTCTGTCACCCAGTCTGTCCCTGCCGGAGCTGCACTCACCAACGTCAAAGTTGCCACTCTTAGGGGCCCTTCCGCCACCACTGGAGCAGCCAAACATTAAACCCTTTTCAGGCAACCAACCCAGTCTACCTGGCTGAATTTCTTATGCAGCTAGAGACTCATAGCCGATCATGAGGCTCACTTCCCTGGAGGCCCGAATGGGTGGCCTTTGTGGTTTCCTTTTTCACAGGGGAAGCGAGAGACTGGGCTAGATCAGTCACCCAGGAAGGAGGCTCCTTGCATATCAACTTCCCGCGCTTCCTGGATGAAATCCATAAGGAATTCTGTGGCCCCATCCCCTCACGCGGCCCCATCCCCTCATGCGTGGCTAAAAAGGCCATCCTCAAGCTCAAGCAGGGAGACTGTACCCTGGGCAGCTATGCAGATGTTTTTCAGTTCTTGGCTCAGTTCATGTCTTGGGATGACTGTCGCCTCCAAAACCAATTCCTCAAAGGCTTGTCAGAAGTTTTCCGAAAGGAAATCTTATGGTCAACTGAAATGGCAGACCTGGATGAGCTGATTCTTGAGTGTATGGCAATAGAAAGGAAAGTGCAAGTCCCCAAGGCAATCTCACTCCATGGGGTTCAAAATAGCTTCTGCTCTTTTGTTCTAATTCCTAATAAGGATGAAAATGAAGGAGTAGAGTGCTACAGTGAGAATGAGGATGAGGGTGAAGAGGCAGGAAGGCACAGGCTTTATCTTAAGCACCCGAGGAAGTGCATGATGGCTTTCTCACAGGAGATGGGGGGGGGGGGGGGAAGAGGAGGAGATGAGGAAAGAGGAAGAAGGGATGGAGGATGAGAAAGATGATGATGGGGATTAGGATGAAGAGGAGGATGAGAAAGAGGAGGTAGAAGAGGGAGATGAAAAAAAATGAGGATGGTGATGAAAATAAGTATGAAGAGGAAGATGAAGCTGAGGTTAGGGTCTTGGAACCAGGACAGGAGGGAGGAAGGGAGGAGACCCAGCATGAGCATGTGTATGTGCATGACCACATGCATGTGCTTGCTGCCCACCATCATAGCCTACATGGAGAGCTGATGGAGATGGTCGAGCCCGTCCTTGTTGACACTTCAACCCAGCCCATTAGCTCTGCAATAGGCTATCCCCATGCTGAGAATTAACCTGGGTGTATCACCTTCCATAGCACATTGTAGCAGAGGGAGGAATCAGAATCGAGTCTCACTTCTGGAGGGCCTCCCGGGTACCAATCCTCATGTCTACAGCTCACCATCACGGATCCGCCATGCAGGTCGCTTAAGGCAACACCAAATACGAAGATGTCCCTCGGTGTTAGGCTGCCTCACTCCTAGATGGGGGGGGGGCACCGCGCTATTCAAGGCCAAACTCGAGTGTGAATGCTGGGATGATTTGGCCACAGGGAACACACCCTTCTACTGCATCCCTTGCCCTTGCTATTGCCGCTGTATGTGCCCCATCTACTGACCAGCCCTTGAGAAAGCTCCAGACTGGAAGAACCTTTTCAAAGAAGACCCACAGGATCACAGACTGTTTTGAAACTACAACCAGAGAGTGAAATGTGCCAACCAAGGCCATTTAGGAAAGGAGAGGGCAGTACTCACAGCCCCCCTGCCATGGACTCTGCTCAATCCTCAGATTAGTTGGAAAGCAATTTGTCTGGGCCTGTTCTTAGAAATGCACTGGTCACCTCTATCTTCTCCTTCAGTTGTCCCCAATCTTTGCCTCTCCTGTTTTTCTTTGCCCTGTGTTCTACAGTTTTATCCTGACTGGTTCAAGAGGACTTCATCTCATGCCTCATTGATCTGCCCCCATCAGCGGTCTAACTATGGATGCCACTGAGGCCACTGACTAGACAATGAGCAGGGTGAGACGCGGAAGGGCTGGAAGGGGGAACTTGCACCTAGTGCAGTGAGAGTGTGCCAAACCACATGTGCTAATGGACAGCTTGACTGAGAGTTATTCTCTTTGGCTGATGGTGGCAAACTGACTTCACTTTCAGCACTGTGGTTTACCTTCCCTTGGACTCTTGCACCAGCAGCCATGAACAGGCTTTGGCCATTTTTTTTTCCCCTAGAATATTGGTATTGGGGGCAGAGGGAGGCAGAGGTGGCAGCAAAGCCATAACTCAATTTGATGTCCTAAAGAGTGAATCTTGCTTTAGGGCCCTTTCCCCAGCTAGGCTTTGGGATGCAGTCCCAGCTAGAGGCCTCTGAGGATACTCGTCTCAGAGTTTTGGGGGTGGCCTTGCTGCTCTGCTCTTTAAGTCCCGCTGACTCTAAGGTGCTGTCTGTGCTGAAAGGAGAAAACAGGGCTGGCTCTCCAGAGACTGTACTCACTGTAGTGCTGCTGCCCAACACCTCCACGACTCTCACAGGAAGGGTCAATCCCTCCCAGGCCTGTTGTTGAACTTCAGTTAGCCAATGTGGCTTAACGGGTGACTGACTACCTCCTACACATTCCAGGGACTTTTTGGGGACAAAATCAGGTGCCCCCTAGAAAGAGGCCTGCTGTTCATCTTGAGTTTCGCGGCTTCTGCAGTGAAAACAATATGTGTTATAGCAGTTCTGACCACACAATGGAAGCCCAATTCACTGCTGGCCCGACTTGTCTGTGGATACCGAATTTGTTGTGCAGTGCCTTGCAGCTGGGCAAAGTACAGCCCACGTGTCTATGGCCAGTGGGAATTAAAATGGAATCTCTTCCTCACTGGAGTATGAAGATGAGGACCCAGGCCTAGAATTTGAACCTGAGATCAGAAGAAGAAACCCAAGGAAGAGGAGTCCTAGACAAAAACAGTCCTCAGACTAGTTTAGGGTGAGATCTCTATTCATCAGCAAGAGTTAAGGGGCTTTTTTTTGCTTATCACTTTTGTTTCTTAGCCTGAAGATCAGTGGACTAGGGTTCCTCTAACCTGTTGCTACCTTTTACAATGTAAAAGAGTTTGCCCCAAAGAGAAGAGTTAACATTTAGTCCCTATGGAAAATCTGGGAAGCAGAGGACACCTCAAGGACAAAATAGGCCCCTTGCAAACCTTCAGAATCTCGCCCCACAGAAGCAGCATTAGTTTATTTCTCTCTAGTGGGCCCTCACAGGATTTTCTCAAACCTGAGGTCATCCTGCTGGAGGGTCAGCAGCAGGACCGAAATGGCTGTCATCTGTGTGGTGCAGAGTCGTTTCACTGTCCTGAGTTGTTAGATATTCCAGTTCTTTGGTTTGCCCCTATCCAGCAGAGCAAGACTAAAGAACTGTGTGAAGACCCTGTTTTGTGTCTGTTTTTCAGCTGATTTCCTCAGGCAGGAGCTCCAAAAGGGAAACACTATTCTCCAAGGCTATGGACCCTGTCTGCTGATGTCAGCATGCTGGTCGTGCTGCCTGTGTGCCAAAAGCAGGCGGCATGTACCTCCAATTCCAAAAACCCCCTTGGCACAGGCTTTGCCCGGCCCCGTGGTGGTTCTTATTCTGAACACTTTGTAGCCCCAGCCAGGGGGAGAGCACAGATGAGCAGTAAACTAGCTTGTGGGCCTCTGGGGGCCAGAGGGGACTTGAACTTGAACCTTTTCCCTGCTTTCCCAGATCGTTAACATTTGTTGTGATGTGACAACTATAGGAGTGGGCCTTCTCCGGTTGAGGGGTTGGAGAGTGGGGAGGATGCATGCAGGGTAGGAGGCTAGCTCAAGGACACCAAAAGGCTCCCGAGAAACAAATGTGGTTACTGTTAGTACTATTACCGTTGTATTACTGTGTTGTGGAGATAAATTGTTCTGTATGCTAAAGCTTTCTCTCCTCAATAAAACAAAACCCAACCAAACCATAAAGGGCGTGTAAAGATTGCATCTGTCTGTGTTACTGAATATAGATGGGGACCTGTGGTCCTTACTTCTCAGGCACCTTAGCTGATCTGTGCTAGCCTGAAGCCGTGGCATCCTTGAGGAAAAGAAGGTCCAGTAACTACAAGCAGTACTGGAAGGAAGGAGTAAAGGCAGGCAGGGTGGAGAGGGAGGGCCCTTCCACTTCCACTAGATGGTGCCATGGGACTCCAGTGAACTAACTGGAACCAAATTCCCAGAGCAGGCCAAGTAGGGCCAAGACCTCTCTGCTTCTTTCTCATGGACTGTGGAGCCAGAAAAAAACTCTTGCCCTCCTCCCCCGATTCTAGGACTCGCTCAGCTTTCTCAGACATGGGTTAAAACA